TACAAAAAAATGATAGAAAGAAAAGGAGAAAGAACGAACTGAAAAGGAAGATTAGATTCCAGTTTCAATGAAAGAAGAAACGGGTCATGACGTTTAATGATGATGGGGCAAAACAGAAGAGGTTGTTGTCTGCCGCAGCAGCGCTGGTCAAACAAACCCTGATAAAGTTCGATCTATGAGCAATGACTCAACATCACTTGAGTCGAGACAAGTTCTCGTGGGTGTAGATCAATGGATAGAGTACAGGACAACTGGCTGTGAGATTTACGCCAATCTTTCACAGATGTTGGACCAGCCTGTCAGAAAACATCAACTTGATTTATTTTATTTTATTTATTTTTCAACATAGAAAAAAACCTGCCAATGCATTGAGGAACTTTATCAAGGCAACACTAGTGGTGCTATTTAGTAACACACACACACACACATATATATATATATATATATATATATATATATATATATATATATATAACTAGACTCGTTTTGAAAACCCTCGAATTTTGATTTGCTAATCAAATCAATCTCGAGGAAAAAAAAGGTTTTAAAAAAGAAAGAGCTACAAACATGAACTTCTGATAAAAAAAAAAAATCGCATAGATGCAGGTCTGAAGCCCAAGAAAAAAACCCTGATACGAGTAACAACTAACTAACAAAAGAGCTCAATACAACCGTAGAGCAGACTTTCCCTGACGATCCGTTTAGGTGAAACCTCAGTAGGTTTGTCTGGCTCACTAGGTGTATATATATATATATATATATATATATATATATATATATATATATATATATATATATATATATATACTGGGTGTAACAGTAATGTATATATATAATATAATGTGTGTATATATATATATATATATATATATATATATAGAGAGAGAGAGAGAGATATTGAGAGAGAGAGAGAGAGATACTGTGTATAACAGCAAAATTGTTCAATTGTTAGATTAAGCTTTGAACCTTTGTATCTTAGAAATGGTTAAAGATATCTTACTGGAACTCCCCGGGGTTTTTATAACACTACTGGACTCTACTTCGAACAAGAAAATGTATTTAGCTCTAAGTTGAAATGATGATCCCTCTTACCCCTGATCCAGTTTTCCTCTCTACTGTTCCATCATTTTGAAACTTATTCCCCGTTCTCTTGATGGTTCTTGAATGGACTTTGAAGATGGAAACCAGATTATGAATATTGGTACCATTACTGAAGTCCTGAATGATCTTTTTCCTCTCACCATTGTTCAGCTGGAAAGACTATGGGGCTGGCGCAAAACCATTTTAACCTGTTCCCTTTTTAGCTGATTTTTCGGTGATTCTTACGACAAATGGTGTCAAGATAGCTAAACGTCTTTTCTGAAAACCTGGAAAAAAAGAAACTCAGTTTAGTTTTTTTTTTTTTTTTTTAGTTATTAAACATTTTGTGGAATGGGAAAATTATTCCATGCTGTTACAAGATTTATAGTGTTTCGCTGTATCACAGTTCATCAGTGTGGCTAGATATTCGATTGGCTCAAGCCAAGATCGAAAGACGACTGATCTGACATCAGTCGGAGATTTTTCCCCTAAGCTATCGGCTCTTGGCAGGGATGAAGGTGAATTTTTACATATTTATTTTGAATAAACAACCCAGTGACTCAGAGTGCTCGATTCATAGAGGAGCTTTGCATTATATATATATATATATATATATATATATACAGAAGTAACGTGGAGATAACGGTAAGCGTTTTAGTTTTTTAATTAGAGAAGTCTTACTGCCTGAAGGAATACTAAACTAGAAAATAGAAGTATTTTGTGGGCATATTAAAAGAAAGTGATTAAAATGTGCACTTATCTTGTAACTACTCAGAGTTTTGCGCAAATTGCATCCCCTCTTCTGGAGGCTTGATTATAAAAAATAAAAAAAGAACACTTGTAATTTTACTGTTTAAAAATCATATCTTCTGAAGGGTTTATTTAATTTCCGCGTAACTGAAGCTAAACAAAATACTTGTACCTTTAATTTTATTTATTATTATTAATGCTCTATCTCTTGATATCGAGCACTGTAATTATAGACAGCTTGTCTAAAAATAATTATATTCCAGAAATATTATGTTTTTTGCGAAATATGATTGATTGATTCGTTTTTTATGGCTTATCAACCCCTAGTAGGTTACTTAGAGCAAGAAAATATATTTAAATTGTAAGAATGTTATTTTTGAGATAATAAATGGTTTAGTGATACAAGTCTTACTAATTAACCCATATCTGGGGGAGAAGAGGTGAATTCATATCTTTCTCTAGGTTATTTGTGTGTAAGTAAATATAACGAACACTACTGTAATTGGAACTCGGCTCTCCGATTACAAATTCCGAGCCATCATCCATTACACCATCCGCTCATCAAAGCTTACAGCACCTAGTATTCCCATCTAGGTACTGACCAGGTTCGACGTTGATAAATTTGGTTATCGTATAGGAACCAATGTTTCAACGTGATGTGGCCCTAAGCCCAATAGCGAAAGACAATCTTTGAAGATCGCTTAAGGTTTGAAACTGACAGATACCATACAGGTTTGATTCCTATGTCTACACTAATAAACGATCTATCACCGAGATTGAGCACTTCTTCCTCATAAATATAGTAAAATTTCAACAATATATATATATATATATATATATATGTGTGTGTGTGTGTGTGTGTGTGTGTGTGTGTGTGTGTGTGTGGAGAAACTTGTCACTTAATTGAGTCGTATTATTTCAATCACACCGACTTCGATGTTTCGTGAGTGCATTCTTGCAATGCCTTCACTCTTCAGGGCTATTGGCTTCTCTGCTGCTACTTCTCAACCTTTACGTATTTATATATAGTTTGGTATAATTTGATATCTTTGTGTGAGTGTGTAATTTTTTTTCACTTAATGGGTGTTGTAATTATCTGTTTCATATGTTTAGGTATTTTTGCTGTTTCTTAAGTGGTGTAGTGTTTCTTGGTGATTGCTTTGTATTGTGCTGACCTCTTTTGACCATGTTTATGTATACGCTCCCTTAATTGCTTTGTGTCAGATAGACCTCTTTTGATCGTGCTGAACTGACCTTTTTTTTTACCGTGTCCGTCTATATGATAGCTTGATTTTTTTTTACTTATTTTTAGGTCATGATTAGGCTTGTCTCTATCCTTACATTTTGATATCGAGCACTCTAAGACAAAAACCTGCGTGCCTAAAATGCCTTTCTACCAGTAAGCTACGGAAAAAACAGCAATTCTGGCACCTACCACTCTTACAATTTAATACTATATATATAAGGTATGTCGAAAAGGTCTACAATATTACCCCAAATCTAAGCAAATATCAGAATTTTTGAGGAAAGGTTTCTTATTCAAACTGGGAACGCTTCAGCTCTCCGCTGCATATATATGTTTATATATAAATACACACGTGTGTGTGTGTGTGTGTGTGTGTGTGTGTGTAGGGGTGTGGGGTGTGATGTAATCATTAACAAGCTAGGATTACAGATTTTCACTTGTGAGTAATGAGTTCTATTCCCAAAGGTTTCGCCATATATACGATCTTGAGCCAAGTTTTCATTTTGAGGAGCGAGAGTGGCGATAGGAAATGGAGTTTTAATAAGTTTATGGCTAGCAGTACCGCCACTCTAGGCAATGAAACAGAATCTATCTATCTATCTATCTATCTATCTATCTATCTATCTATCTATCTATCTATCTAAATGTAGATATACCAGTAAGTCCATAATGTTTCAACATGGTTCAAGACTGTGTGTATTGTAAATCAAAGTATTGCCGGTGTTCAGGAATTAACTGATTTACTGGTTGAGTGGAAAGATTGCATGAAAAATTAAACGCATTATTAATGCTTTTGCCGTAGAAATACATTGAAAATCAAGAGGAAAGGGATTGTCAATGGTCAAGAACTGAAGTAATTGAAGTAAGCATGGGAATGTACTAGATTTTTGATTCAACCCTTTTCATCTATTCATTTATGGCTGAAACTTTCGTCATTGCATTGCTATAGGTCAACTGCGAATGACGGAAAATTTTACCGCAATTTATTGGTTAGTCCCTTTAAAATCTTCAAATTAAAAATTAAAAATTCTGACAATGCTCCATTAAGACTATTATTTTAATACAACAGTGACCTGAACACAATTATAGTCTGGGGCTTTATTTATATTCTTGTGTCTCGGGGACAATGGGGTATGAATCCATCCCCTCCCACAGCTATGGGTTAAATAGTACAACATATATCTGGAAAAATCATCGTTATTCTCAAAAAATTGTTATTGCAATATTCACTCGCCAGAAAGAAATTCTTACAATTCAGATTTCAGCTTTAAATAACCTACAAAGTGTAGGTAAACCGTAAAAAACAAATCTTTCAAATACTGGACTAACTCCCAGTGCATCAATCACTATAACTGCGTCTGTCATCTACATCTCGCTCAGCTTTAGTTCTTGGTGTCAATATCTTAGTATAAATTTATTTGCAAAAATTTAAGTAGTCTGGCACAAGGCGGTTGCCAATGTAAACATAGAATAATCTAGTCGTTTGCTGTTAACTTTTGCTGTTAGATCCTCTGGTCATTTTTGTTCACAAACTATTTAAAGATGTCAGGCCTGGAACCCAGCCCGTTGAGAGATACCTAAAGTGTATACAATCGCTTTCGATGCAAAATGACTTCGAGTGAATGAATCCTGTAGGTCTTAGAGAGGACTACCCTACTTCGAGCCTCGTGGACTGGTGCTACAGAATCACAAACAATTAACGTTACTAAATAACAGAAACGACGCCACTTGAGAACTCTCAGCACGACCAACAGTTAAAATGGATAGCACGTTCAACTCGAAGAAAAGATAATAATGGCATAATCAAGATGTTGGCATTTTACAGTACTTCAAACAAACTGTTAGGAAGGAAATCGCCCTTCAATACGTGAAAGAACAATAACAGTTAGTGGACTTGAGAAAGCTATTTTCATGATAGATGAGCTTACGGTCATATCACGTTGAAACACCTGTTACCGTACGAAGACCGAAGTTAAGCAATATCGAGCCTTCTCAGCAACTAGATGGGTGACCGCTTGGGAATACCAGATGCAATAAGCTTGGATGTGCGGATGATGCAATGGATGACAGCTCGGAATTGGAAATCCGAGAGCCGAGTTCTAGTTTCACTCGGGTTCTTATATTCACTTACGAACAAATACCCTTGGGAAACGTATGTATTCATTTCTTCTCTCCCCACTTTAATTAGTTAATTAGTAGAACGTATCAGTAAAATCATTATCATCTCCAATAAAATGATTACAATCTAAAAATATTTTATGGCTTTAAATAACCTAAAAAGGTTGATAAACCGTAAAAAAACAACAAATCAATTTGAGCATTGTCAATTTTCGTGGGGCGGCTTAATTTAGAGTATTAATTTACGATCCCACTTTATTAACTATAAAAGGCTCGGTATTCTCTGGTTTATAAGTTCTCATTGGTTTATTACATGGTTGACGAAACAGGGATTTGTTATGACAAACAGGTTTTCTTTCTATTGTTCTGTGTGACGTGTCCCTCTAGGACATTAGCAATCATGTCCCTCCACAATTTCCTTTGTAGCGCTTAATGAATTTTGTCTTATGCTATCTATCTCACACGCTATTCCATTCACTGTGCTTTGCCATGTAGGTTATGCGTTGTTTTCTTCAGTCCCTCTTGCCTTCAATTTTATCCTGTGAGTATCAAATTTTACAAACCCTCTTTCCTCATTATGTAACCTAGAAATTGTAACTGTCTCTTCCCGATGTTAAATATAAGTGTCCTTTTTGTTGCCATAGAATTTACTCACATGTTCGGTACATTCTCAGCATCCTTCGATAGAGCCACATTTCTGTTTGCTTCAAGTCTCCTCTTCATCTGTGAAGAGATTCTCTAGCCTTATAGAAGGACTGATATTATATAATAGTTCAGTGCTCTTTTCTTTGTTTCCAACGATATTTTCCTGTTTCTTAATACTTTGCTTAGCGTTTGGAATTGCTTTTTCAGTATCTCAATTCACCTTCGTATTTCAGTGTCACATTTTCCGCCCGCAGTTAAAACGCTTTCCCAGATATTTAAATTGTTGCACCTGTCTGATTTTGGCATCTCCAATATGTAATTTGAATATTGGGCTGTTCCTCTTGCAAACAACCATGCGTTCTGTTTTCTTGCAATTGAGTCGTTTCCTCTCGTTTTCCCTCACTACGTTCTAGATACACCAGTGTCCATAATGTTTCAACATGGTTCAAGACTGTGTGTATTGTAAATCACAGTATTGCCGGTGTTCAGGAATTAACTGATTTACTGGTTGAGTGGAAAGATTGCATGAAAAATTAAACGCATTGCCAATGATTTTGCCGTAGAAATACATTGAAAATCAGGAGGAAAGGGATTGTCAATGGTCAAGAACTGAAGTAATTGAAGTAAGCATGGGAATGTACTAGATTTTTGATTCAACCCTTTTCATCTATTCATTTATGGCTGAAACTTTCGTCATTGCATTGCTATAGGTCAACTGCGAATGACGGAAAATTTTACCGCAATTTATTGGTTAGTCCCTTTAAAATCTTCAAATTAAAAATTAAAAATTCTGACAATGCTCCATTAAGACTATTATTTTAATACAACAGTGACCTGAACACAATTATAGTCTGGGGCTTTATTTATATTCTTGTGTCTCGGGGACAATGGGGTATGAATCCATCCCCTCCCACAGCTATGGGTTAAATAGTACAACATGTATCTGGAAAATCATCGTTATTCTCAAAAATTGTTATTGCAATATTCACTCGCCAGAAAGGAATTCTTACAATTCAGATTTCAGCTTTAAATAACCTACAAAGTGTAGGTAAACCGTAAAAAACAAATCTTTCAAATACTGGACTAACTCCCAGTGCATCAATCACTATAACTGCGTCTGTCATCTACATCTCGCTCAGCTTTTAGTTCTTGGAGTCCCTTTCTCTCATCAACACTGATTCATCTGCATATTTTAGGTTGCCAAGATTGTGGCCGCCAATAATGAATCCTGGTAGGATTCTCTCAGAATCGCCTCGCTGTATAGGTTGAAAAAGTCAAGACATCTTTGATTTACGCACCTTTTTATTTTTATATATTTACTGAACTCTTTTTCTATCCGTGTGCAAGGAGTTTCTTCTGGATTATTTTAATATCCTTCCCACATATGTCAAGGTGATCAAGCAGTTCGAACCAAATTATAATATCGGAGTTATGATCATTTCTGGGCGACCCAGAAGTGTATCCTTGTGTCAGACTAAATAATTCTAAATAAAGTCAATTATCAACCATTCGACCTTGCATGGAATATTGCTGTCATATATGGTCTGGAGTCCCCGTTGTTCGTCTTTGGGTCCTCGACAAAATCCAGAGACAGATTTGCAATGTGATTAGCCCTGATCTGGCATCTCGTCTACAGTCGCTTTTTCACAGACATGCCGTCGCCTCCCTCTGTCTTTTCTGAAAATACTTTCACGGTAACTGCTCCGACGAGCTATTTAGCTAGTTCCCAAACTAGATGAAGTTAAACGTGCCACTAGGTCGGCGTCTCAGTCCCACCCTTTCACTATCGAAACGGTTAAATGTAGCCGTCTCTTCTACTCCAATGGCTTCATGTCTCGCACCTCCTGTCTGTGGAATTCCTTTCCTATCACTTGCTTCCCTGATAGCTATAATCTCCAACTATTCAAATGCAATGTCAACCGATATCTCCAGATGCCTTGATCTATTCCTCGTCCTTCTTTCCTCATTCACGCCTCTTTACTCTTGCTCCCACTTTCTGTAACTCATTGCGTTCTCGTGGTACTCCCGCCTTGCCTGGGGTGAAAAGTTTTTTTTTTTTTTAAATGTATCAGACAAAAACCATTCCGTCGGTGACATTTATTTATTCGGTCGAGTCTGTCGCGCCAAGTAGCACGGTTCAACATCAAGATTGGAAGATCATAACATGTAGGTCGTTGCTGGGCGACAAACTCGTATTGCACCATGGCTAGGTGTCCAGAGCTCGCGAGTTTTCGTTTTGTTCGCCAGCAGTCAGCTTCAAAGCGGATTCTGCGTTCGCGTAAGATTGTAGCGATATTAGGGACTAGCAGTAGAGCCCGGCGTTGCCCGGGGATATAACAGTAAGAGATAGATCAAGTATCCACCATCATAAAGACTGAAAAATAAAATTGACAAAGATTATTGTTTAAGGTTGATGGTAAAAAAAACAAAAAAAACTGTCGCATGTCTTAATTAGTTTTTTTTTTTTTTTGTTTTTTTTTTACGAATTGGTCAAACCCAAACTCAAACAAAAACATTGTTTTCAATCGTTATGAGTCTACCGATTAAATAGAATTTTATTATAAACAATTGTCTTGTAAATGGAATTTTTAAAACATTCTGAATGTAAAAATAAAGAAAAAAAGTGTGCAAGACAATAAGAAACACTACCTGCCAAAAAGAAGTGAAATTTTGTTGAAATCGGTTAAAAAATGTAGGAAATCCGATCCCATATATAAAGGAACACACACACACACAAAAACCTGGGTTTTATAAAAAGTATAACTCGATATGAGTTGTCCCCCTTTCATTCTCGCGACAGCGATGCCTCTTAATCGTGTTTTCAAATTGATTTCGTGCAAAAACAATTGTGTTTTTCCAATTTTTGGGGCTGTCTGAACCATCGCAAGGTAATTTTACGTAGTCCTGTGAAGTTTTGTTGAAATCGGTTGAAAATCCGATTCAATATATAAACGAACAGACATACACACACACAAGCTGGGTTTTATAATAAGTATGATGTTTCCATACAGCTGTGATTGAGCTGGATGTTGTTTCCAAGAGATGTTAAGTAAAGCTCACAGCATGAAATAAATTCTACTGAAAAGGATGTGAAAATTCGCATAGCTGAAGCTTAGACCGTCTTGAATAAGATGAATGTAATCTGGAAATCTGATCTACTAGACAACCTCAAACGGAGATTCTTTCGAGCCACTGTAGAGGCGGAGTTAATGTATGGTGCCACTGCTTGGACATTAACTAAAACCCTAGAGTCTAAGCTTGATGGTACCTACACTCAGATGCTTAGAACTATAATTAATATCACAGTGATATTACCTGGGGGTAAAGGAGCTTCTAGTGTAAAAATTGTAATTATAATAGCTGGCCGAACGTATCCGAGAATGTCTGAATAGCCAATCCCTGTTGCAGACGCCTTCTCAGGCACATTTGTGTTTCTTCAGCACCCACAGAGTCCACCACCGGTTTATAGTGCACCTATGATGATCGAATCGTATTTTTATAGTACATAGAGTTCTAATAAAGAAACGGATAGTAGATGGGGTTCTATCTTATAAGTGGATAGTGTGTTCTTCCGTAGAAATTGATAGAAAACGAGTTCATAGCGAAGAAATTCGTAGTAGTTTGGTTTTTACTAGCTCTAATGCAGAAATTATAGTAGACTGGATTTTACTGTAGAAATTGATAGTTGGTGAAGTTTTACCGTAGAAATTTATATTACATGGATTCGACTATGGAAATTATAGCTGATAGGGATTCTGTATATTCAGTTTATGATGACATACAGTATTTACGTCATTCGTGAAGTCCAGGAATCTTTTCTTGGTAACTACTTTGCTGTTGTAGTAAATTCGATCGGTTCGGAGCGCCACATTATTCTGGCTAGTATTAACAAAGCTTAGCTTTGTACGGTACAGAACAGTGAGGTGTGGCACTGGTAGAAAACTGCATAACTATCTTACCTATGACGTAGTAACTGGTTTTACTTGTTTCCAGGAGCGCATGATGTCCTTCTAATGGCCGGAACGAATTATGCAGAATTTTTTTTTTCCACTTTGCCATTCTAACATTGTTCAGATATAAAGAAAATTTTACATCATATTCACACACATACATATAGTACCTACATGGAGATACGTCTTAATAAACCGAAATAGATATGAACAGACTGAGATAAAAAGACCGATATGAACAAACATAGATTGATAGATATTAACAGATCCAAGATAGTATAGACAGGGAGATAGATACTAACAAACTGACATAGATAG